GATGTATTGCATGAGAGAAGAATAAGTAAACAAAATAGCACCCACTTTGCGAGATTTTTATGGAGAGTACATTCTTAAAACCTGCTGACAGTAATGGCGTCACCAGTGTGCTTGTCCTGGAGAGGCTACATCCTGCCTCAGAAGAAAGTGATGTGAGGTGGGAGTGGTCAGGGTTTGAGGAAGGAAGGGGAACAGGTAGGACCATCCTCAGTCTGAGTCTGGCTTGCAAATGGGCTTGAATGTGTCAAGCAGAGCCTTCTCTGTATGTTCTTTCTTCATGTCCTAGAACCTGTGCCTGGTCTACCTGGTCCATCCACAGTCTGGATGGACTCCTTCAAATTGCATCATATCACACATCAAGTAAATGAGGCTCTCTCTGTCATGGCAGAGATTTATCAAGTGACAGAGCTGGGCTTTCTGGTAGTTAAATTTATTTTTAGCAGCTTCATCCTGAGATGCTTTAAATTAGGACTGCAGCTAATTTAAAGCACTGCATGGTGCGTGGTTAGCATTTCTTCATGAGCAACGGTGTGCTACGTGCGCATCTGAAATCTAGTGATGGAGAGTCATGCCAAACAGCAGGGAAAGAGACCTGCTTATATCCATCTGTCCTGTAGAACACCCGCACCACCAGACCATCCTGTCTGGACACAGCTTTGCCAGCAGCATGTGACCTGGCTGTTTTCTGCCTCCTCATCCTCTGTTTCCCAACAGCGGTTGCCATTTCTGCCCAAGGAGCCCCCTTCAATGGCTGCCCAGCTCCATGCTTATCCAGTGGTCCTGGTACAGATAGACCTCATCTTCTGCTGTCTAGATACTGAGTCTCAGATACTGAACCTCCCAGATTATCGGCCCAGCCCATGCAAAGCTTCTAGAGCTGGGCTAGCATCCCTGCGTGCATTTCTGGCAAGTTCTCAGGAGACACCAATGCAGCAAGTTCAAGGACCCCACTTTCAAGATGGTTGATGAACCATGGTAGCCAACTCATGTCCTAAGAGGGTTCACACAGTCCAGAAAGGCTACAGATGTGGCCCAACACAAGGGTTTCCTGCAGTCCAGAACAGCTATGGATGCAGTCCAACACAAAACCATAAACTTATTTAAAATCTCATAAGATTATTTTCATCTTTCTGATAAATCTATTATGTGAGTCCCAAGCATGAATTTTGTAGATGCAACATCAACATCATGTCACAAAAATCACAAAGTCACAAATATTAAACATATATGTACACACACATGCATGCATTCGCGCACACACCTGTGTGTATGTACTCAAAACCTGTGGGCCATGAGTTGAACAACCTAGATGTAACATGTACCCTAAGACAATTCGTCCTTATCCAATGTGGCCCAGAAAATCCAAAAGGTTTGACCCCCCTTGAATTCTAGACCATTCCAGGAGTTTTCTAATGTCTTTATAAGTAATTTGAGCTGCTAGCTGGACAGTTCCTATCATGCCTCCCCTTGCATCAAAAACTCCCCAAGTTCTCCCTCACTACTAATCCAAGCACACTTTTCTGGAAGTCAGATCAGGACCAAAACCCACGTGGCCACCTGGATATGACACTACCACTGTGGTTCATGTATGGGCCTGTCCCTGTTCTCATTCAGTCACATGCCTCTAGGAAGCAGGAACTCTGTCCATCCCACCACTCAGGGACATTCCAGTGCTTAGGAAATGTCTCAGGAGTGGAAAATGACTGAAGGCATACTTAACAAGAGATGGAAGTTATTTATTCCTCTAGAGAGAATCCAAGCAACTCCTGTGAAACTAGGATTTGGTCTTGCCGTATCTACCTCCCCATGTTTGTTCGTTTCTGGGACTTATAGAGAAGAAGAAAAGTCTGACTTGATTGAAATCGAGTGAGCATAAGAACTGTATAGTGAGCTCAGCTTGGACATGGGGAAGTGGCCCTAAGGTCAATGCTGATCCCTCGGCTGATGGAGTGAACTTGGGCAAGTGTCACCTGGCCAGCCTGTGAAGGGAAAATGGTTTCGACCTACTTCAGAGACCAGTTATTGGAAACAATGGGATTACTGAGGTAAATTGGTTAGCTCAATTCTTGACATGTAGAAGGTCCCGGGTAATCAGTGGTGATTTTTCAGCAGTGAGGTTTCCAAGCAAAAAAAGAGAGATGGGTGGTTTTCTGAGTTTTAATGGAAACGAATTGCACTTTGTTTGAAAAATGATAATAGATAATGCATTCCGGGATTCTTTCCCCTGTTTTAATGAGTCAAGGATACACCAAATTCAATTTTTTTCCAGAAACAATCTCAAAGGACTAGTAAACTTGATTTATGTTTTCTTTACCAGTCACTTTTATTCCAAAAGCCTGACATTTCCATTAAAATGCTATTAGGTAAAAACAGAATTTTACAGTATTTGTGATGGCTTGGGTCTCGATGTGATAATTACAATTATCTCCAGCAAAGATGCCATTCCTCATCCCTTTATTTCCTGCTATACATCAGCCGCATCGTTAGTACTTCCCAGGTGAAGAGACCCACTTCCCTGGGAAGCCGTGGTTCTGAGGTCTGTGAAGGGAAATCAGTCTGGGAGGGCAGCCGTCCAGAGGTGCAGAATGCCTTGCAGGAGTGCTGAAATGTGCATGCTGGGCAGTGCTCGACAGAGGTGCCTCCAGAAGAGGACATCCTCATGCCCCAGAGAGACATAAGGAAGACCTGTCTGGAGTGAGTGTACGGGATGGAGGTGATGAGGTCCCCATCATCATGGCAGTCCAAACTAAGGCTGCCACCCAGAACAGGTGCTCTTTTAAACAGCCTGCCACTACAGAGGTCCAATCCTGTCTAGCTGGGTTAAAATTTCTTCTCTGAAGTGACATTGTTGTGAAATGTTCTAGAACTAGATGGCAGCAATGGTGATAATGCCTCGTGAAAGAACTAAATACCACTAAATGGTACACTTTAGAATGGTTTCACTGGTGGCTTTTATGTGTTTCACACAGGAACAACAAAAAAAATCTTTCTAGAAAATTTCCAAAGCCTCTTGCAGCTAGCACACTGTGCTTGGAGAGTAGGCACCTCATCCACAGGGACTGAACACTAGGTTCTGTTTAGGCATTAATGTAGCCATTAAATCTCTAACTGAGGAGGAATATTAACTTCATTACTGTTATGGCTTAATACAGACTGTGTGTATGTCCATGAGAAACATGCTGGGGTGAACAATACAGTTTAAACACATGTCCTGTCATCCTAACTCTTAAGTACAGACAGCTAAACATTCTTAGTGCCTATATTCAAGTTGCAGGACTAGGAACCATTTTGATTACCTCATACTTCTCTCAAAGGTCTACAAAGAACTTAAATAACTTTTATAATCTGATATATAAAGCTCCCGGCTAAAGATATGGCTCAGGGGCTGGAGAAATGGCTCAGAGGTTAAGAGCACCGACTGCTCTTCCAGAGATCCTGAGTTCAATTCCCAGCAACCACATGGTGGCTCACAACCATCCCTTATGAGATCTTCTGGTGCCCTCTTCTGGTGTGCAGATATACATGGAAGCAGAATGTTGTATACATAATAAATAAATAAATAAATATTAAAAAAAAAGATATGGCTCAGTTGGTGGAGTGCCTGCCTCCTATGCTTGATTCCCCAGCACCACATAAAACTGGATGTGGTATTGCATCCCTGTAATCCCAGCAATGGGGAAGTGGAGACAGAGGATCAAAAGTTCAAGATCACCCTCAAGTTGGACTATATAAGACCTTGCTCTTAAAAAATAAAAAGAAATTAATTAATGGCAATCAATATTTTTAAAAATCTTTTTAAAAAGTAAACAATAGTATTCAGAATTTTGTGCCCCCATGTGTCCATGATGTACTTTAGAATAAGGATATAGTAAAACAGAGGGTGCTAGAGAACTGGTCTGGAGAACTGATTTATAGCCCTGGTTTATTCAGAGATATGATGCCATGCTCAACCTCAGTCTCCCCGTCTAGAAGCCAGCTGTAGTCCGAGGCTCCTCACAAAGGTGAGGAGAGCAGATGAGATGACACCCTTGAGGCGGGTTTGTTGACAGAGTGGTCCCTGAGCTGTTTCCATCCCTCCTTGCAGTCACATTGCACACCTCTGCCTTCCCCTTACTGAAATCTTTTGAGTGCTCATAACCTCAGCCACCGCCACTCATTCAATACTTTAGGAGCTAGTTCCTGGGAAGTGTATCAGTTTACCTGCCACCCCCAGTGGGGAAAATACTTCATTTCATGTGAAAAATAACCACCAACACCATGTATGTCTCCCCAGCTTCTTTCCCGGTCCCAGGGGCTTATGGGACACAAATCATCATGGCTTTGAGACTCTTCTTGGCAGTTAATGTCATTATTAAAAGCAAACCTTCCCAATGTGTCTTAGTTGGTGTTCTGTTCCTGTGAAGAGACACCATGGCCACAGCAGCTCTTATAAAGGAAAACATCTAACTAGGGCTGGCTTGCAGTTCAGAGGTTTAATACATTATCATCATGGGGGGAAGCATGGTGGCACACAGGCAGGCGTGGTGCTGGAGTAGGAACTGAGAGTTCTGCATCCAGATCATCAGGCAGCAGGAAGAGAGAGTGATGCTGGGGCTGGCTTGGGCTTCTGAAACCTCAAAACCCACCCCGAGTGACACACTTTCTCCAACAAGGCCACAGCTCCCAATAGTGCCACTCCCTATGGGCCTATGTGGGCCATTTTCACTCAGACCATCTACCATACAACAAATTTAATGAAAACTGCCTCTCACTCCCTATTCCCAGGAGCCTAATACACACCACATCCTATAGACGTGAGCTGGCTGGGATATGGCTCACAGAGCACATCACAGAGCATAGGGCCTGACCTGTGAACCACGAAGTATGTGGGGAACAGAGAAACATGTCCAAGGAACAGAGTGGGATGTGAAGGAATGTCATTAGTGTGGCCAAAGAGGCATCTTGGGGTGGTGGTAAAGTAGTATAAAAATGTGCCACATAGCCAGGGCCCGGGAGAAGCAGGTAGAGGGACACCATAATGGCCTAGTGTGGGGACGACCTGGAAGTGGGTGGGTTGACACAAGGCCATTTAAGGAAAAGAATCACACGCAGCCCATATTAAGGTTTTAGCTTAGATGGGACTTATTGGCCATGCACAGTGTGTTCAATATTTGGTCTTAGGAACAGCAACAGCAGGTGGCAGGTACTTTTCGTGGTCCTGGTTTTGGGTGGGACAGGAGGTGGGAAAGGGTGGCGCTTGAAATAGAGAGAGGCACTGAGTAAGGAAGGGAGTTGGAACTCAGGGGCATTAACTCTTGGGCTCTGCCAGACTGACAGACAGCCATAGTCACAGCCTGGAAGAGAATGGTGTGCCCAGCCAGTAAGTAGCTAGAAACAAGGAGGTTTAGGAAGAAAGCACAAATGCCAGGGTGAGGCACGTGTAAGAGGCCAGCATCTTAGACAAGGCTAAAGAGGAAGTAGCTTATCAGGTATGCTGGTTGCCGTGGGGCTAAGCACAGTGGCACATGCCCACAATCCCAGCCCTTAGGAGAAAGCAACAGGAGAATTGCAAGTTCTAGGGCAGCCTTGGCTACATAGAAAGTTTAGGACCAGCCAGGGTTACACAGTGAGACCTTGTCTCAAAACTAAAATTAAAAAAAAAGAAAAAAAAAGAAATCCACTCAGGTGCCAGAATGAAGAATGGGAAGGACAAACCCAGAAACATGGTGTGATGGTTTGAATGAAAATGGCATTATTAGGAGGTGTGGACTTGTTGGAGGAAGTGTGTCACTGGGGGTGGGCTTCTAGGTTTCAGAAGCTCAAGCCAAATTCCAGTGTCACTGGCTCTTCCTGCTGTCTGCAGATCCAGATGTAGAACTCTTAGCTACCTCTTTAGTACCATGTCTGATTTCATGTAACCATGCTTCCCGCCATGATGATAATAGCCTAAACATCTGAAACTGTAAGCCAGCCCCAATTAAATGTTTTCCTGAATAAGAGTTGCTGTGGTCATGGTGCTGTGGTCCAAGCAGGGCAGACAGGAGAGCACTGGCCTGTGAGAGCTGATTTGGGGACTATAGTGATATAGCATTGACTATGGAGACAAAGGAAGAATTGGCATTTATTCTGATCTTTCCAACCTGGGTAACTGGCAGGTATCTGGTAGTGACCCACCAAGGAGATGGGACAGACTTTGGGTGGGAAAAGGGCTGTGTTACACTGGAGGCGAGAAGGAATTGAGACCACTTCCAGCTAGAGGTGGAGAGGTAAAAGTCTGTGGCTACTCATTTTCTTTATTATCAGAATAATTTCAGAATAAAACACACAGGGAGAAGGGTCGCAAAACTTGTCATTTTCTGTGTGAGCTCCAAATAAACAGTTAAGGTAAGAGACTGTCTGTATTCCTCGGACTGGGGAATGGAAGTGTCTCCCCAAGTGTTCACTGAACTGCGCCTGTGGCTTCTTGCCAACCATCAGTGAGATTTTTTCCATTTCTTGATTATTCAATTACTACCTGTAAGTGTAAGTTTGAAATCAGACCGTTCACAATGGAGTATTCCCTTGAATTGTGAGCAGAGCAAAGTTGGGCTGGCAGGATGGAGGAAGCCTATGTTTCCAGTCCTAGCTCTGGCCTGAATTCAAGCCTTGGCTTCACTAAGCAGGAGCTGTGTGAACCTCCTCAGGCCACTTCTCAGAGGCCAGTTTCCTAGTCTATAAAATAGGAAGAGTGTAACGTCAATCCCCTAGAGCTACTATACGTCTCAAGGGAAGGAAGGCATTTGAGGAAGGCAGTATGTCATGAGTGCCTTTGTATTTCAGGTTTCAGCATCCTGAAAAGCCTTTCACTGGGAAGGAAGATCTGGACTGTGAGCTGACCGGTGACCCCGACTCCAACCCTGAAGCCCACCTGCCCTCCATTTGCCTCAAGCAGGTGTTCCCCAAGTATGCCAAGCAGTTCAACTACCTGCGCTTGGTAGACAGGATGGCTAATTTGTTTATCCGATTCCTGGGAATCAAGGGGACAATGAAGTTGGGACCAACTGGCTTTCGGACCTTCATAAGGTTAGTGAAACCAGCTTCCTCCCGCTTGAGCTCTGGGGAGCACAGAGTTCAGCCACTCATTTGATGGCCACATGACTCTTGAATGGTCTTGGGAGACCACAGTGTTGAATTGGTTCCCTGTTTGAAGCTGTAGTCACCTCAGGGCTGACACTGACCCTGGCATATTGTAGATTCTTGTCAAATGAGTTGATGAATGTTCTGACCATAACATTTAAATCTTAGGTTCATCTTTAAAACAAGCAGTTATGGGTCTGAGTGAGACAATTCAATAGGGAATGATCTTGATGCCTAAGTACAAGGACCTGAGTTCAGATCCCCAGAACCCACTCAAAAGCCAGGCGTGGCAGCATGCATTAGTAATTCCAGAACCAGGGATGGGGAGTTGGACAAGATAAGAGTGTGCTAGCAAACCATTTTAACAAAAGTACAGAACTCTAGGTTCAGTGAAGAGCCTGTCTCAAAATAGAAGATGCTCAAAATCCACCTCTGGTCTCCATATACACATGCAAAGGTGTTTGCACCCATCTTGAAATACACACACACACCCAAAAAAATTGTCAACTACCATGTTAGTCATTTTTATTGTTGTTGTTAGGACACAATGTCTGAAGCTGGGTGACTTTATAAAGAACAAGGGTTTACTTAACTCACAGTAGTTTAAGGTAGTAGCTTAAACTCTAAGATTACCCTTAGTTATAATCTAATGGCAGATGACATTATGATGAGGGAGGTCCTTCTGACTCTAAGATTACCCTTAGTTATAATCTAATGGCAGATGACATTATGATGGGGGAGGTCCTTCTGTGTGTATGTTTGTCTTATTGATTGTTGAATAAAGCACTGTTGGCCAATAGGAAAGCAAGATAGGTGGGGCTAGGAGTCGAGGAGGATTTATCATTACAACCTTACAGGGGAGGCATATGCAGGAGAAAGATCATGTCCAGGGACAATGCCAGAGAGCAAATAGAATTTGGGCTCATTCTTATAACAACTCAGGGTCCCACAAGAACCCCCCAAGAGCATATGCCCGATGTCCTAAAGCCCTTCTACAAGCTCTGCCTCCGAATGATGCTACTACCACTTCAGTAACAACACACCCAGGCGCATGCTTCCAACACATCAATCCTCAGGGGGTGTCCTAGTTAGTGTTATCAACTTGGCAAAGCCCAAAGTCCTCTGAGAGGAAAATCTAAATCAGATTGGCCTGTAGACATGTCTGTGAGGGGTTGTCTTGGTTATTAAGGTATGCAGGAGGGCCCAGCACACTGTAGGGCCACAGTCTCTGAGCAGGAATCTTCGAAAAAAGCCAGCAAGCAGCATTTCTCCATGTTTTCTGCTTCAAGTACCTCCTTGAGTTCCTGCCCTGACTTCTGTCAATGATGGATGTAGAGATTGCTCATGGGAGTCCAACCAGCCTTGTGTTTCTTTCTTTTCTTTCTTTCTTTCTTTCTTTTTTTTTTTTTTTTTTTTTTCGAGACAGGGTTTCTCTGGGTAGCCTATCCTGGAACTCACTTTGGAGACCAGGCTGGCCTCAAACTCACAGAGATCCGCCTGCCTCTGCCTCCCGAGTGCTGGGATTAAAGGCATGCACCACCAACGCCCAGCTTCAGCCTTGTGTTTCTTAAGATGCATTTTCCCAGGAGGACCAACCTGGCTGAGGCTGAGTTTGCATAGACCTGTCATTTTGGGAGTGAAAAGTTTAATAATTAGTCTGATAAATCATATAGTACATTTGTTCTAATATTAAATTAACATGCTTATAGCATGTGCTATACAAAACTTGATTGAGTTTTAAAGGTAAAGTGTAAAATAAGAAAGAGATTTTGCTATAGCTACAAAGTAAGCAGTTGCCTCTTACTGTTCATCTTTGATGGTTCATTCATTTGCCTCCTTCCTTTGGAACACTTTGGAGACAACATAGGTGAGCTCACCAGTCATGAACCCAGGAAAGCTCATGACTATCCTTGGAACTGGGGGTCTTTAGCCTGTAGATTGGAATGAAGCCACATAGACCATAGGGGTGTCTGTGTCTGTGTATGCATGTGTGGATGCATGCATGTATGTGTGTTTGTGTGTGTGTGTGTGTGTGTGTGTGTGTGTGTGTGTGTGTGTTGTGTATAGAATTAATGAGGACCACAGGGAAACATCTAGTATATGGCAAGTGATCAATAATTAGTTGAAGAATGTCATGAAAATTCACATATAGTTCTATAAATTCACACACAGAGGAGGGATATGAGACAGAGAGAGAGAGAGAAAGAGAGAGAGAGAGAGAGAGAGAGAGAGAGAGAGAGAGAGGGAGGGAGGAGGGAGAGAGGGAGAGAGGGAGAGAGAAGAGAGGAGAGAGGAGAGAGCCAGGGCCTACACATGGTCTAGTGCCAACCTGACAGCCATGGCAAACAAATAACCCTACATTTCTTCAACAAACGTGCTCTAGTTCCAACAGAGAATTGCTCATTTGCAGATCTCTGTGGCATTGCCACCCAAAGAAAAGTCTCTGACAGCCCTCAGCATTGCTGTCACTGCTTGTTGTTGGTTTTAACATCCTAACCCTGCATCTCAAAGCCACACTCCTCAGAGTTCTCTTCACTAAGGCAAATAATTGGAAGCCATGTTTTGCCAAAGGCTTCTCCAGATAGTTTATGGAGACTGCCACCAGCCTCTGGTCTTGGTAAGATATCAAAGCCAAGTCTTGGTGGCCACTGTTGCCTCTTGTGCAAACCTGAAGTCCTAGCTGCAGGGTGGCTTGAAAAGGGCACTACATTAGTTTCAGGGGTGGGAGTTGAGGAGTAGGAAGGACATAGACTTTAGGGTCTAATAGGTCTGGCTCTGGGACCAAGCATATTGCTTATTGGCTGTGTGGCTCTAAGTCCTAGTTCCCTCAGCGAGCAGTAATCCTGCCTTGCATGGTATTATGAGTCTGGGGTATAAAGTATCAAAAGGCACCTGGCTCAAGGCCTGGATCAAGGGAGCTGCTTGCCAGATGAGGACTTTTGACTCTTGTGTCAGGATTGCATTTGATACTCAATGATAGGATAGTGTCTTCAAATGGCTTGGAACAAAAAAGCCACCAGGGGCTTCTAGAACTAGTCAGCAACTCCACAATGTCATCTATGTCTCACCTCCTTTCTGCTCACCCATACCAAGCATGTCTGATGGTTTCAAGGTTGCCTTATGGTCACAGGGCAGCTGCTCAAAATCTGGCCACCATGGTTGAGTACTGAACTGGAAGAAGGTCTGCATAGGTCTCTACCCTACCAGATGAATCAGACTCCTTAAAAGCTGCCCTGGATGCTATGTGCAATGATATCACCCTCCGTTTTGTTGGTTACTTCTCGTTACATGGGAAGCTGGGAAACTAATTTTATATTACATCTGTTCATTAATTTATTTAGTGTGTGTGAGGACAGGTATACACATGTCATAGCATGCCTATGGAGGTCAGAGCACAGCTTTCAAGAACCAGTTTTTCCTGTCCACTATGTGGATCCCAGACATTGAACTCCAGTTATTTTTTTAAGATTGTATGTATGTATGTATGTATGTATGTATTATGCATATAACATTCTGCTTCCATGTATATCTGCACATCAGAAGAAGGTACCAGATCTCATAATGGATGGTTGTGAGCCACCATGTGGTTGCTGGGAATTGAACTCAGGACCTTTGGAAGAGCAGTCGGTGCTCTTAACCTCTGAGCCATCTCTCCAGCCCTGAACTCCAGTTATTAATGAGCCATGTTGCTGGCCCCTGGAGCTTTCTTGTGGGTTTTTGTTTGTTTGCTCGTTTTTTTTTTTTTTTTTAAGTGTACATACTGCTGTCTCATCATAGTGAAAAGGAGGAAGAAGACAAACAGCTGGGCAGTCTCTGCCTCTTTGTGATTCTTACTTGAGCCTTAGAACATAGAGGACTCTCATCTAAGGGCCTGTGGAAGCACATGGGACACAAGTGAAGTGAGCAAGCTGGTGTGCTTTGTTTGCAAAACATGTCTACAGACTGAACTAGAGCCAAGGCAGGAACGTTCTGGGTCTGCCCAGCTTCTGCACCATGACACAGAAGTCCCCATTCAAACACAGAGGGACTAAAGGACCAGCCGAACTTCATGTGGGGAACGATCAGAATCTGTGAGGAACACAGATCCTGTGACACCTGTTCCATGCTCATCTCTTCCCAAATATGGCGATAGGACATTTGAAGACAAGTTAAAGAAGTCCTCCTTCGCCGGGCGTTGGTGGCACACACCTTTAATCCCAGCACTCAGGAGGCAGAGGCAGTTGGATCTCTGTAAGTTCGAGGCTAGCCTGGTCTACAAAAAAGAGTTCCAGGACAGCCTCCAAAGCCACAGAGAAACCCTGAGACAGGGGAGGTTGAATCTACCTAGTGGGATCCATTGGGGCCTCCTCCAGGAGGCAGGGTTTATCCTATTACTAGCTGTCATCGGCTAAGTAGTAGACAGACACACCACCAAGGCAGCAAGAAGAGACAGCAGAAGGATTTCATGTGGCCCAAGCTGAGAAGTGAGGGATGCTGTGTAATCCAAGCTATAATGGACCTGAGGCTCTGTGAACTCGGTGAGGACACAGGATAGGTTCTGGGAGGCATACTGTCCACTTGTGGAGTAATTTTGCCCAATCAGAAGACAGGGAGGAGATCTGGAGACACTAGTAGGCTTGAAGTCTCAAATGCTTCAGGCAGGATGAATGACAACTTCTTCCCTTCCCTCCCCACTGCCCCAAACACAGTGTGGGCTCTGATGGGAAGTGGTTGGAGAAGCTGTCTCAAGGGAACCATCGCTTGCACACTTAATGTCACCAGAGCTTTGAGTCTCTTCAAAAGAAGTTATGCATGCTTATTTTTATGTAAAATCTCTGTATTCAAAGAATGGCTTTAACCATGTATGCCCTACATCAAAGCAGGACTGCCCATGGAAGCCTCCAGTGAGTGACACTTGGTTTGAGAGCCCAGGAGGTATCTATTAAGCCCTAATTAAGAGGGCCTCCACATCTTACACAATCCTGAAGAGAAAACAGAATTAAGAATGTTTCTTATCCAGATAGTGGTGGCACATGCCTTTCATCCCAGCACTGGGGAGGCAGAGAGAGGTGGATCTCTGTGAGTTCAAGTCCAGCCTGGTCTACAGAGCGAGTTCCAGGATAGGCTCCAAAGCAACAAAAAAACCCTGTCTCGAAAAACCATAAATAAACAAATAAATAAATAAATAAATATTGGGTGGTGGTGGCATCCGCCTTTAATTCCATAACTTGGGAGACAGAGGCAGGTGGTTCTCTGAGTTTGAGGCCAGCCTGATCTACAGAGCTCCCAGACAGCCAAGGCTACACAGAGAAACCCTGTGTCAACCCCCCCCAAAAAAAAAACCTTTCTAATAAAGATAATTCTCATGTCAGAATGGGCTAATGACAAAAACATACCCCTGCAAAGCTGTCTGGGTGTGACAGGCTTTGTGATTATCCCCATCATTGAAGGCATTTGCATGAGAAATCATTTTTTCCAAGGTTGGGGATTGTTAGGTTCTGCAGCCACCACTTCCAATCTGTGACCAGCCAGGGCTGTCAGTGGAGCTGTGGCAGAACATGACAGTAAAAGAGCATCTTCAGGAGGCCAAGAGGCAGCTGGAGCAGATGGACCCAGACAACAAGAACTCCCAGCAAATGCCTGTCCTAATTAAGGATGCAGGAGGAAGTGGATGAAACACCGCACTCAGTAACAGACGCTGCCTTTAAAGATGTCCCAAGAAACCCCAATGGCAACTTAATAGTAAAATATGATAATTCTCCGCTTTCCAATTTATCTGGGTATGTTCAGTCTTGCAGATTAAATTTCACCACCTGCTAACGACTGTTCTCTATCTCTCTCCTTTCCACTTTGGTTTAAATGTTGCTTCGTTATGAATTAATAATATTTATGCCATATGCTGAGTTGAACCAAGTGCCCTTTGCAGTATTGCTTCGAAGCAGACATATTCCCAGCACGGTGCACACTTCATTCAAGGTTCCCACACAGATGCCCAAAGTGGAGCTTGGCTTTCATATCTACTACCCACTCTGCTTCTCTCCATGTCTCTTGAAGAGAACTCGAAGGGGAGAAGATAATAAACTGTCCGCTTGGGTTTATTTTCAGGGTCCATCTCTCAGAACTTGCAGCATAGATCAGCAGTTTTCAGAGCAAATTATGCTAATGCCCGCCCAGCCATCTTCTGCTCATTTCTTCTCTGAGAATGAGAATTAAGGAACTGTCATTCTCTTGTCTAGACTAACCAGCCTCCAGTGTCACTTCCTCAGGAGCCGAGTAGCACATATCAGCTCTGTGAATTGAGCTTCTCTTTTTATTTTATTTTTTTTGGAAATTTTATTTTATAATAATTGCCAGGGTGTGGCATCTTCTCTTTCTACAGAAAATAACAACTGTCTAATTGATTCTTTAACTTGGCAACCTTCCTTTGAGAGAAATGTATCTGCATTAGGCTCCTGCCAAAGGATCACTAGTTGGGGGTGGGGAGACATCAGATGTAATTCATGGAGGACACTTTTTCCATGGTGTCCTGAATTTCCCACTGAATGCAGCAAGGATTCAATAGTTGGCCCCAGCCAGGCTCATTCCTAGGAAGCTGCAGCTCCTGCACATCGAGACCATACTTTGAAATCCCTGATCCACCACCATCACTGCTTCTGAGCCCAGGCCTCCTTTTGAATTAAAGGACATATTTTTCCCTCTGTCTCTTTCTCCTTTCCCTTCCCTTTTATTGCTTGGAGATATTAATATGCTTCATAATGGATAGATAGCTGTAGGTTTTTTTCCCCCTCTGAGAGGCAGGACATGTTAGAATGTTCTAGAATATAGACGTATAAGGAGCCAGCTTTCCCTTTATCATTAACTCCTTAGTGACTTTGAAACTGTCTCTTCTGTGACCATTCCTTCCCAGAAATCTTGTGGGATTCTCCTCCATAGCCTTGAAAATCAGGATGTTTTAAATCACAGCCACCTCTTTCCTTCCCCTCCCAAATGCTTAGTTATTTGCCCCTCCCCCTTTTAAAATAAATCTGTGTCTTTCACTTTTTACCTTATAGAAACCTCTCTGGCGGGGGAGCTGCTCCTTTTTGTCACAAAGAAGAATGAGCATAAGAGAAATTCTATAAATAGGACTTTGTGGCATGTAGAGGTTGGTCCCTAAATTTCCCATGAGACGTAGGCAGTTTGAGGAAATGGGATGATCATCTCAGAGCTCCCCACATGCTCAGGCTCCTAATGAACTTGAATGATTTGTGATTCTCTCCCATCATATGTACTCAGATTCCTTCCATTCTGAAAAAAAAAAAGAGAGAGAAAACAAGAAATGCACAAAAACCACCACTTTCAGCCGGTTCTTCTTAACTAGGCAAGGCTTTGATTGCCATTGACTTCTTCTCCACATGTGGCCAGCATGGAGTGTCTCTACCAGGGCCTTGTCTGGTGAGGAGCCTCAATCCCCCAGACAAACAGGAAGAACTTCTATGGCATGCTCAAAGACATGCAGCAAAGCCAGTGTTCCAAGCCTTCACTCTTTTTCTAGAACATTTCTATCTTCTCACACACCCTATGTCTCAGAGCACTTTTCCACAACAGAATTTACCCTTCCATCCCTGCATTGGACTAGCTTGCCCCGGGACATAAGGGGAGGTTGTGCTCCACGACTGGAACTACCTGGCCATCACACTCCAGCTCCTGCACGTGACCCTCTGAGAGCTGTGTCATCCTGTCACCAGGCCCTGAATACTGCTACTCACCATGGCAGAAGATGAGTTCTGTTTCTAGTGGCTAGATGGATGAAAAGCCTCATTCTAAAGGCTTGATGTTAGCCTCTATTTGAGTTCATTGAGGATGTCTGGTAGCCAAAGGACAAACCCAGAAGATGCTCCTTTCATGAGGCCCTGCTTATCTCCCAGAAGCCTCTGTCCCAAAATTTCCCAGCAGGTGTCCAGCCCTTTGGTCACTAGACCAAGACTTTGTATCTTGATCCTAGGCTCTTCCTGGGACCCTGGGACCTCCCCACAGCTCCTGTACCCTCTCCTGTCTCCAGGGGGAGATGGGATACAGATCTGAACTGTATGACCTTGGGCAAGTCCTAACTCTCTGAAATGGGACTGGGGTCCCCTCCCTCACATGTGCTTACAAGAAGTCTGAGACCTCAGGAAGGGAAAGGACATTGCATATAGATGGTACCCAAGAAATACCTACAGAACTCAAATCTCTTTAAGCATCTCCTGTCAGCTGCAGCTGACAGGAATGATCCTCTGCTCTGACTGCAGTATTGCTGGGAAGGTTGAGTTATCTTGGAAAAGGGATAAATGAAGAATTCTCCCTGGTAAATTATGGCTTCTGCTAAAGGTTTGACACTTATATTTTCTTCCTGTCAGAAAAAAAAAAAACAACTATATACCAGTGGTCAGTTTCCATTTTTATCCTTCATTGAGCCATGGAGGAAGCCAGGCAGCGCTGGGTCCTTCCAGGGAGCAGGTAGTCCTGAGAACACTGATGTGACCATCAGGAAAGGCCATGGGCTTTTCTTAATGAAGCTTTGGAAATCAGCAGCCTACTTGACAGCATGACTCAAGAGACTAGAACATTGTCCCTGTGACGGGTGACGTGTAAAGCTCGGCGTCCACTGACATGTTTTCCTCAGACTCTTAACTATGCGCTGACATGCTTTGAAGTCTGCCATGGCACCTTGTGATTGAAATATGGAACAGGATGTGAATTGTTGGTCTGGAAAATGCAGACGGCTGAGAAGGAGGAGGGGGGTTAGCAAGTGTACCAGGGTAGAGGCGCAAAGACCTCATCCAGGCACCATGCTGGCATACTCACAGCCACCATGGTTAAGGAGTGGATCTGGATTTGGATAGTGTCCTCTGGGTGCCAATCACGCTTGCCAATCAAAGCTTCACCTGTCTGGTGCCTGTGGAACTGTTCATGCAGGGGACAATGATAAATAGGCAGTCGAGAAGCACTTTTTCATCAGCTGGGGTCACAGTGGTGATGCATTAGAAATGTCTAAAAGTGTTGAATGCAGCTCGGAGACCCCAACAGCTGGCCCAGAGCCCAGCCTTCAGGATCCCGAGGCAAATCCCACCTCCCAGAGTGATCATGTGGCAGAGGTGGAGAGGCTGCCCTAGACTCTCTTCACCTAGGTTTCTTTACCTCAATGGGCAATGAAAACTTGGTCTTGTGCCCTGAGAGAGGGAACTGGGGAGCAAGATGAGACAAGATGAGACAAACAACTAACGAGTGCCCCAAGCTTCCCAGGCACCTGGCATCACACAGGTCCCCATAGGTACTCACTGCCTCAGCAGCCATATGGGCAGATGTTATCTTCATCTTAGAGGTCAGGAAACAGAGATAGGTAGATCGGTTTAAGAAAACTACCCACAATCCAGCATCTAAATGCTGCTTACCCACCCATTCTCAGTGGAGGGGGCTCCAAACACCACCTCTGTGGCTTAGACAGCGAACTTAAATCTCATTCTTTTGACATCCCCATGCCTGAGCAGAAGGAACATCAGAAACATTCACCCTCCTCCTGGCTCCAGATGACCAGGAACGAGCATGCAGCTCAGTGTAGAAGGGCTCTCCAGTGACGGGGCCCAACCTGTGCAAAAGAGCTTGGCCCAGCCTATGCTTTCTACTCTGTGTGTCTGGGCCTGTGTGCCGCTGATTCGGGGCTTGTATAAAACCATCAGGGTGACAAAGAGAGGCGAAATACAGACACATCAATCCTCTTGTCTTCATGTTTGGCCTCAAGGACTCCTCTGGTGAGATCTGGGAGGAACAGCTCCCAGACCACAGTGATGACTTCAGCCACTCATTGGTGAGCTGTCATTGCCAGGGCATATGAACGTGACACAAGCAGCTGCCTGCACTGACAGGAGAGGGCAGTACTCATACCCTGAAATGGTCAGTAAGAAGATGGACACACATAAGGAAGAATCTATCTTAACTATGGAGTTCCTGGGGCTGGGGTGTGGCTCAGCTGGTAGAATACTTGCCTAGCATGGATGAGGCCCTGGGTTCCATCCCAGTACCACTTAAAAAAAACAGGTGTAGCCAGGTGGTGGTGGCTCATGCCTTTCATCCCGGCACTCGGGAGGCAGAGGCAGGCAGATCTCTGTGAGTTCGAGGCCAGCCCGGTCTACAGAGTGAGTTCCAGGATAGGCTCCAAAGCTACACAGAGAAACCCTGTCTCAAAAAAACAAAAAAACAAAAACAAAAACAAAAACAAAAAAAAAAAACAGAGGTGTGGTGATGGACACCTGTAATCCCAGCACATGGGAGGCAGAGGCAGGAGTGAGTTTAAGACCAGCCTGGGCTATATGAGTCCCTATTGCAATGATAACAACAACAATAGTAATAATATAGAGAAAGAAGAGGAAGTCTTGCCTCCCTTTGGGAGTGGGCAGGGTCTTCAAGGCTATATGAGGTGCAGCTGACTAAAATCAGTAGGCCAGAAAGGGGAGTTGCTTGCCCAAGTTCTCAGTGGCAGAGCCAGAATTTGGCTCAAGAATGGCCATCTCCACAGCCTTGCTCTCAATAGGGCATTCATTAGCTCCTAACTAAAGCCACAGTCTCCATACCCAGTTCCCTCTTGCAACCCCCCAACCCCATCCCGCCGCCCTGCCCTGCCCCATTCCTCTGCTGACAGAGAATTCCGGGGAGAAAAACATGGCTGGAGCAAAGATACATTTTGCATTTGAGCAGTTCCAGTGGCTTAAACAACAGAAGCCCTGGCAGAGAGGTGACTACTGAGGGCCCACTCCCAGCTAGTAGCAGCTGCTTTCTCCGTGGTGCGAGCAGGGAAGCAGGCAAGCTCTCCTCCTCTTAGTGTCTCCCTACAAGGACACTAATTGATCTGCTCGGGGGCCCCAACCACGTGACCTCTGAAGCTCCAAAGACTCTGCTGGTGGGTTTCATCGAGGCTCAAATATTCAGTCTCCACAGGTTTGAAGGAAAAAGAGCCAGAAGTTTCCACAGTAGAATAACATGTCTTCTTCCCTGTCATGACAGGAACTGTAAGCTGAGTAGCAGCAGCCTATCCATGGCTGCAGTGGACATCCTCTACATTGACATCACAAGAAGGTGGAACTCCATGACCCAGGACCAGCGGGACTCAGGTACTGATGGCTGCCTTCATATCCTGCGGGGTCCTTGCCTGACAGGCATAGGGAAGGGTCTGTGTGTCTTCTCTCCTTTCATATTATGGAGGGGAGGAAGGAAGATGAATTGAGTAGAATTTAAGCCCTGAGGCACTATCTGTTACCAAAGCAATCAACCCCTCCCCAGATTCCACTCCCACCATTAGCTTCCTTCTTTCTTTTATTTTCTTTTCATTCTTTTTATTTATTTGTTTGTTTGTTTGTTTGTTTGTTTGTTTGTTTGTTTTGCTTAAGGCTTTGACTCCATCACTACTGGAGATAGACTGCTGTTCATTTATTCATTTGTGGCCCTGAATATATTTGCTGAGCATACAGTGGCTAGACCTTGGGTAGACTAGAGAACTTGGCTCTTGCCTGGAAGGAATGCTGTGGAGTTGAGACATGTGAAAAAATGATGCTAACATAGAGGGAATGAGGTGGACTAGGATGGGGGTGTCCTCCTGGGAACCTCTCGAGGAAGAGCCCAATGGATAGACCAGTGACTAGGGTGAAGATGGATCCCAGCAGGGGCGGAGGCTTGTCTACACATGAACACATGTAAAAGGCCATTGAGCCCAGGCTACCCCAACTAGCTCCAATGGAGGAGAGATCACAGCAGGCAAGGACATGGGCTACACATGAACACATGTAAAAGGCCATTGAGCCCAGGCTACCCCAACTAACTCCAATGGAGGAGAGATCACAACAGGCAAGGATATGGTGTTGTGGTGAACTTTAAATGCCACACCAAAGACGTTAACTATGATATGCTTTGTTCTTTGTTTTTTAATTCTTCCGCTACGAAAATCTACCTTTGAGTGGATGACTTTCCCATCTCTGTCCTCTGATCAGTCTAATAACCATTACTGACATTTGTATAGCTTGTCAGAAAACTGCAAAGATTCTCTCATTGAGTGTCCCCGTGACCCAGCCAGCACACAGGTGTCAGGAGCCTCATTTCACAGCCAGTGAACTGTAACTCTAGTGACTGAGGTTGAGAAGGGACCGTGATCCAGGTACACACTGGCACCATCCCCTCCTGCCCTCTACTGTGTTGTCACCCTTGCCTCAAACACACACACAGAGGCCACACCTGCTGGGTGTCTTGTTCCTCCGTGAGTGGGTGGAGAGGACTTGAAGTCTGAAGCTGAGAGTTCTCAATGAGAAGTGGCTATGCCATCTCTTGCCAACATCAGCCGTGAAGCCATGTGGCCTCGTGCTCTGGAGCTTCTCATGTGTATATGTGTGTGTGTTCTTTGGATGGCCCTGAGGGTTTCATACCTCAGTGGCTACTAGTGTCTTTGGGGTCACTGCCAACCATTCAAGGTGGTTCACCTTATTAGTGGATTCTTTCCAGTCTTACTGCTGGGGGAGACTCAGGGGCGGCTATGTGACCACTGGTGTCAACTAGAGCCAATCTGCCCCCCTCCCAGTTGTGGGCTAGAAGTGCCAACCAAAAGGACACAACCAGCTAGCTCATCCTGCAAAGTAGTGACACTCAGAAATCATTTGAGGATGGCTTCCTGTTTGATAATGATGCCACCTGATACCACTTGCTGGCTGTCTTCGCTATGGCAAGCACCACCACATGCCTTAATGATGCCACCTGATACCACTTGCTGGCTGTCTTCGCTATGGCAAGCACTACCACATGGATGGCACTGGCTGTAATCCCAGAGATGGATCTGACTGTGTCCATTGTACAGAGGAGGAAACCGGGTCTCGGAGACATGAATGGTAGAATGACAATCAACCATCAGCCCACCTGGCTTCCTGTCTGGGTCACTTCCTCCTAATGATTGTTGGGGCAGTGGTGAGATGCTGATCTGCTGGCTGCTCCAAATAATTCAAAAGCAAAAGCAGCCATCAAATCAACAAGGACCAAGTGAGCCCATGTGACAGTTGAGTTGCATCACATTTTGCTGACATCCTCAGAAACGGAAAAAGTGCTCTGTCCGAAAGCTGAATGCCTCAGGGTGTCATCGCAGGATCCTGCAGAAGGGGCCAGATGAGTGGGTGGGGGTGGCAATGGAATTATTAAATATTGAAATTGATCAGGAGTCGCAGTGGGAAGCTGTTTATCATGTTCTATTGCTTCCGACCAGCGTTACCATCTGGCCCATTGTTCATCCCGAATAGCTTTGCGTGTTTTGTTTGCTCCTAAAATCACTCCCTGTAAGCAGAATCCACAGGGGCAGGGAGGGAGTTGCCCACAATATCGGCTCAGCAAAGGGTTTCTGGGGTCCATCAGGGTCTCTCTACTTTGCTGACCAAGCCAAGAAAATGAGAACTATTCTTATATTTACCACAAGTGAAGCTGGGGCTGGGACCTCCAGACTTCTGCACCCATCTGCGCCTGAAGGCGTAGCACAGTAACTATAGGTCTCGAGGGACATTTAGAGATGGCTTCACCTGGGTGTTTATTGTCATTTATTCTCGGAGCTTTGATAGTTGAGATCACACCTGTTTTCGAAGGTGAGGATCCTGAGGTTCCAAGAGCAAAAGGTACTTGTTTACAGCCTCATAGCCAAGATTTGAACTCATGCCTCAGCTGTCTGGCCCCAGGTACTGTCTCTAACCTAGAAGTATACCAGGTGATCTCTGTCCCCTGTACACCTGGGGAGGGGACCTGGCTTACAAGGCAGGCCTCAGGTGGTACAAAGGCAGGCAGGTGTGCTCACAATGTGTTTCAAAGAGCTGGGAGAGAAGATTATGAAGACCTCACAACAGAGGGTGATTACGATGATGGATATGCTAATTAGAGGGATGTGATGTCACAAGTGCATACATGGACTGAACATCACACTGTGTTCTGTAAATACATGTAAATATTATATGTCAAGATCATTTTCTTTCAAACAGTCACTTCACCCAGCACAGAAACCTTGGGGTAGAGGTAGCGGGGGACGGGACGGCCAGGACAGGGGCATGGGACAACACACAACTAGAGTGTGGGGGTTGTGGATGTCTTGTCCAGGCTCACATCCCCCCTACCCTTGTCTTGGGAGCTTATTTTCCTGTTTCCATTGTTGCTGAAAAGAAATGGCAGGGGCTGGGGGCCTAGGAAATGGGTTGGGCATTAAACCAGGAATGGAAGCCACTCTGTGATGATGGGGACAGAGACCCTGTTATCTCCAGCAGCCAGCCAGGCCGATATTACCTCCTTCTCAAGGTTGGCCCAGCACCCGGCTCTCAGTGGGAAAGGGCATCTACAGACAGCTGCCTGACAAGGACCATTCAAGACACTCCCAGAGAGCAGCAGAAAGCTGTGTTTGGGTGTGATTCTTGCTTTCGGCATAAAGCAACAGAAATACCAGAAAGGGAGTGAGTCCTTCTGTCCCTCCTTCCTCCCTCCCTCCCTCAGTCTTACACTCCTTCCCATCTGTCTATCTCTTCACTTCTTTCCTCTCCCCTTCCTGGTATGGAGCCAAAGGAACTTCAGGCCTCCTTCCAGTTACATGCTGGCCAGTGTGTCTGCATATGTCTCTATCTTTCCATGTGTGTGTGTGTCTGTATTTCTCTGTCTTTTTATGGGTCCCAACTAGTATTCAATAACTTGACAACTGAACTTAAGGTTACCACATCCTCAAAACAGGGAATTCTGAGTGGGAAAGTCACAGCCTGTAGAAGCAGTTGCTTCATTGGCAGGTCTTGCTTCCCACCCCTGAATGCCCAGTGTGATACACAAGCCCAGTAGCATAGGAATCCATCCACCCCAGCACCAGCTGTGTCGAAATGTTGTGGGACTCTCCCTTTCCCCAGAGTCTACCCAGACCTAATGGGACTGTGCTCTGGAGAAAGAGTTACAACCCAGCCGCCCCCCCACACACACACACACTCACACACCTGGTGCCTGAGAGTATGAGAGCATAGGCAGCCTATGTTTGGGAACTTTTCTCCTGATGTAGAGGAGAAACTAGTGCTGGAAACATGGGTTAAGAAAAAGTCAAAAGTAGTGAGAAAAAGCACCCATGCTAGATGTAATAACTCTCAAGCCATCCTCTCCTGCAGCCCTGGTCCTGACTGTGGGTCTCGTTTCCTGTTGGGCCTCTTGCATGTGGAAGTGGCCTCAGTGGCACCCTTGGATGCTGTGCCCGGCCTGCTCTTCCCCAGTCTTTGTAATAGGCATCAGCATCTGTGTGCAGGCGTGTTGTGTGTCTGGGGGAGGGGCACATGCATGAATGTGAGTGTGGAGAGCATAGGATAACTTCAGCTGTCATTCTTCAGGTAGCATCCAGATGGATTTTCAAAATGAGGCAGGAATCTGCCATCTCCTCCTCCCCAGCCCTGGGATTACGAGTGAGTGCACCACACCTGGGAGGTTGTTTAGTTTGAGATCAGGCTCACAAAGCAAGCATTTTACCGTCTAAACGCTCACTCCAGCCCTGTAATTAGGTACTTTTAGTAATGGAATGAGCTTCTAGAAGACTTGACCCTAAACAAAAGCTAGACCTCCGCAGTAAGAGCCTCCCATGTGTGGCTCCCGACCTTGGCCTGTTTTCTCCTCCCCCATGAGGAGACTTGTCTGTACCCTGGATAATCTCTTGGAATGCCAAGCCTGCTCATGAGCTTGGAGAAATTTAGCAAATGTTCTCCAGCACACCAGTGTAATTGTCAGCCCCCCTCCCCCAAATTAAGGATTTTCATTCCTGTCCTTAGAATTTCCAGCAGAACACAAAAGTCTAAATGAGGGTGTTCTCAGCAAAACTGGAATACCACAGCCCTCTCCTGTGCTGGAACCAAATGAGGAAACCAATCTGTGGGCAGACATGCAGTGATTTCAGCAAATCGAACTCTCACAACTTCTTATCACTGAGAGTTTTCCTCTCTGCTCCTTGCAGAGTCAGCGCCCATCTCTGTGGGAGAGATGAGGGCAGCATCCTGATCAGGCAATAAACTGTCCTTGTCACAGGTGCCACAATCACCTGCATGGGGCACTTGGTCCCAACAGAAGGTCTCTCACAGTCCAACACTTGGGGGCTCTGGACAGTCTGTTTATTTTGCAGCTAGGCATTTTCCTGTTTGAGAAGGAAGCTCGAGGCCAGCCTGGTCTGCAGAGCGAGAGTGCCAGGATAGGCTCCAAAGCTACACAGAGAAACCCTGTCTCGAAAAACCAAAAAAAGAGAGAAGCCTATGCCAGGCTCGGCAGCACACACCTGAAATCCCAGCACTTGAGAGGCCAAGGCTGGCAGGGAGCTAGTCTATGCTCTCCAGGGAGACCCAGTCTCAATAAAAATGTAAAAACATAAACAAGCAAAGGGGAGCGTTCATTAAAGGTCCTTCCCAGGACTCAGAGAGGGAAATCTAAGAATGTATAGTCCCTGACGATACTAGGGACCATTCCACCAATAAATGCTTTTTCATTTCTCTTCTGAGCCCTGAGCTACTTGCCCCTCCTCAGGCAGCCCTGTCTGTAAGTGACTCTTTCCTTGGTTAGATTTATTTTATTTTATGTGTATGAATGTTTGTCTGTGTAAATGTATGTACACCATGTGTGTGCCTAGTTTTTACAGAGTTAAGAAGAGGGAGTTAAATCCCCTGAAACTGGAGAGAGTTACAGATGATTGTGAAGCACCATTTGGGTGCTGGGTACCAAGCCCAGGTCCTCCGTAAGAGCAGCCAGTGC